ATAATAAGGAGTTAAGGACAAGCAAAAATCTTGCGCCCAAAGTTCTCATCCTTCCCATTCCGAGCAGTAACAATAATACACTCTCCAAGTCCACATTGGCAAAAAATCTTCATGTCGATTAGAATAAGGTAACACACGATTAGCATGTTAGTTTGATCAATGTAGGTAGGCGGGGTAACTAGGCAGGTTGGGAGGTGGCCCGGATGGGCAGGGTGGTTAGGCGGGCTGGGAGTGGCTTGGACGCACAGGATTGTTACTTGCTAGAAGGACTACTGGGGTGGCCTACATGGGAAGGGTGGCTAAGCGGGCTGGGGGGCTGGCCTAGTCACACGGGGTGGCTAGGTGGGCTAGGAGGCTGGCCTGGTCGTGTGGGGTAGCCAGGTAGGATAGGTGTCATGGACCTAGTCTCTTCTAGCATCGCGTGTGCCACTTGGCAGCAGTCCGTCGCTCTACAAGTCAGCTTTCCTTGGTTAGAGCACTCTCTTGGTTCTTACGACCAAGTAGCTTATCAACTCGTCCTTCACACTAAGGCACACACTTAGGCAATTAAGCACAAAAAACACAAGGAAAGAGAGAGAGATGGAGAATTCAAAGAACTCTTTGTATTACTCAAGAGAGGGATAGAATGCTTGATTGCTTGCTTACTTCTTGTTTCTCTGCTTCCTTACTTGATGCAAATGAGGGAGGGGCCCCCTTTTATAGGCACCTCCACCTTCTTAAAGGGTTTCTCTAGAACTATGTACACTTAGCATTATCTAGAAGTACTTCTAAAACATTCTACCTTCTATACTCTTCTAGGGGATGCCTTTTCCATAAGATACAAGAACACCCTAGAGGAAGTCTAGATTGCTCCCAACCCCTCTACGTTGTTCCACAAGGTTCTAGAGAGTTCCACTAACATCTAGACCCTTATAGACACATGGAGAACACTCCAAAACACCCCAGAAACATGCTGAATTGGCTAGAAGCCTCAAGAAACATCTAGAAAGCCTCTAGCCAAGCACCCCATTGTGTCACTTCGTGACATAGGGGTGGCCTAGAAGGGCGAAGTGGCCAAGCGGGTTGGGGGGTGGCCTGGCCATGTAGAACTGCTAGGCGAGCTTCAGGGTGGCCTGGGGCGCGTTGGGTTGCTAGGCATGCTATTGGGGTAGCCTGTCTGGGCAGTTGGCTAGGCGGGATAGGGGGATGGCCTAGGCATGCATGCAGGGTGGGTAGGCAAGCTGGGGGTGGTCATGGTGCTTGAGTGGCTATGTGGGCTTGGGGGTAGCCTGGAGGTATCAGTTGACCATGCAATGGCCATCGCTGGGGCATTTCATCAAACAAGTGTGGATCATTTACTCGTTTTACTTGTCCGATGATGGCCATTGGTGGGAAACTTTGGGGTAGTCGTCGCTACGTCGCTGCTAGATCATTAGTGGCCGTCGGTATCCATTAGTACTCGTCATTCACCGAGCTCAACCCCACCTTCATTCAACTAGATCTGCTTCAGTCATTGGCCTTTGAAAACCAGGACCAAACTCAACCCCACCTAGTTATCATCGATCATGGCCCAATTGTAGATGAAAGCAGAGGGGCATTTTCGACCACAAAGGGTAGTCATGTTATTTTTTCAAAATGTAACAATCAGTAGTGCGACATGTGAGCCGATTGAGATGGATTTTGATGGAACACTAACAGTAGGGATATACTTAATCAATTGTCAGAAAACTTAAGGGTACCCACATGGAATATGAAAACAGTAGGGATATATTTAACCAATTTCACAAAACTCAGGGGTAGTTTAAGAGATTTACCTTTTTTTTTATATCTTTTGAAGTGATACACAATAGGGGTAGGGGGGGCAGCCCATCCCCCAACCCAGGTGTAGGCGGGATTTGATCCCAAGTCTTCGCTACAACCAATAGGAGACCTTACCAACCAGCTAGTTGGCATCTTGCAAATTTTGGTTCTAAGATTTTGTTAATTGTTTTCACTTCTGATTTTTGTTTGTTCCGAGCAAACTCAAACCCAAATCATTATTTTATTAATAATATGTACTGGTTTTTCAATTTTTATAATTTCTATTATATTTATGTAAGGGCAAATTTGATAGATAATATATAAGATATATTTAGTTAAAATTTAAAACACTTGATTTATTATCATATAAATATATTATTATGAAAAATAATATATATATTTATATATTTATATTAGTATAATTGGGCCTATCGTGTCAGGCCCTATTATCCCAATTATTTAGGACATGCTTTATAACGTGGATGAGATTTTAGGTGGTGCAGATCCATCCACGCCATGCCATTATTTGCAAATGCTCTATACTGTGGACAAATTGGCTAGACTGAAACAATCCACATCCAAACTGGCATTTTGCTAGATGTGTGGATCAATTCACACTGTGTATTGATTCCATATATCTCACATACAACATGTTAGATGATTTATACAATCGATCAAGTATAAAATATTAATATATTTTATATATAATATAACTAATACAAAAATAATACAAAATAATTAGAGTAATAGAGATAAAACATCAATATATATTTATTAATAAATATAAAAAAATAAAAGTCAGATGAAAATATTGGAAGATAAAATATACCAAATATGTAATATGTAATATTAAAACTCATCAAAATTAAAAAAGATTAATAAAAATAATAAAAAGTACAAGTATTTAAAAAATTGTACCAATATTATTTTAGTATAACAAAAATTACTACATTTTAGTAAAAGTTGATAAAACTAATGAAATTTACTAAAATATACAAAAAATATAGGGAAACCAAATAATGGAGAAACATTGTATCATGGTGTGGGGGCAAAACCAATGTGGACAGGTGTCATCCATAAGGATGAAAAATTGAGAGATGAACAAGATTGGTCCACGATCCACACCCTGGCGAACAGAATATTCATTTCATCTTGTGGAAAGGATCGAAATGGTCCATCCACAAGACGAACACAATTTTGAACGCAACCTTCATTGAGAGTCTGAGACCGTGTAGTAGGGCTGCTCACGGGTCGAGTTGGGTCGGCTTATTAGTTTTTTTCAACCGACCTGACCTGGTCGAGTTATCTAAAGATTAAACTGAAACCCTCTATTAAGCAAAACTGACCTGGTCGATTTAGGTTAGTTTTAGTTTAAATATATATTCGGAAATATACATATTATATATAATATTTTAAAATATATTTTCTGGAAATATAGTTAAAACTGAAATATACATTTTAGAAATATATATATTTAAAACCAATATATATATATATATATATATATATATATATATATATTTAAAACTGAAATATACATATTATATATGATATTTCAGTGAGAATATATTTATAGATAAAACCGAACCGAATTATCGGTTTACCCATCTTTCAAACTTGACCGAAACTGATCGGTGGTGAAGAAAAATTGGCCAAATCGAGTTGGATCGGGCTGGGTTGATCGGTTTGGTTGGTTTGAATTTATTTGTGAACAGCCCTACTGTGTACAATCTATGATTTTATCCCAGTTAAAAATGGGTTCTGAGTGAAACACCTTGTCCCAATCCTCGGACCCTGAACAACCCTATCTATTCTACCATTGCCATTCGATTCAGTTCGAACCAAATGATCAGATCATTTAGGCTAAGAATTGACAACCAAACAGGTTATTGAGATGGTTGGTGGGAAATTTATAATTTATTTGCCTCACAAATTGTTATTGTTTTTTATAAATGTATTGCCCCAAATCCCACCTATGATGCAATATCCTTTCAATCGCTGATTAGGGGTGTCAACGGTATTTAAAAATCCGATTTTGAATTCAAGATTCAACATAATCAAATCAAATTTGAATAATTCGAATATCTAATCATTTGAATTCGGATATAGCCTTATTCGATTCGATAAATATCCGAATTCAACTGATTATTTAATCCTTATATATAAATATAAAATATTTAAATATTTTATATAATTTATATATACAATAATTAAGATATTTATATAAATAATTAACTGATTAAATTTGAATTCAAATATTAATTCCCAATATCCATGGGATATCATCGAATTTTCTAATCAGATTTGAATTGAGATATTACTCGATCCGATTCGTTTACACCCCTACTGGCCCCGTCACTCATTTGCAAAAAACTGTTGCCTTCCGGTCCGAATAAATAGTCTCCACTATTGTTTTTGCGTGTGCGTGTATGTGTTAAAAAAGATGTCTACTATTCAAATGCAAATATACTGTAGTAGTCTACATTCTGTGACTGTGAGTCTGTAACATGGCTTCAAATAAATATATAGTCTCCACTCTCCACTCAAAAACTCGGCCACTCTTCTACCAAAGAAGAAAAATTAACAGTTCGTACACCGTAATTCCCAGCATTTTCACAGGTTCGGAGACATATATTATATCTACCTGACTCCCTCAGGAGATATTTATGTGGCTACTCAATACACGAAGAACTGTGCTTTGGAGGAGAATTGGCTTTACTCCAGTCGCCTCCCTGGTTATTGAATTGTTTTGTTTTAGTCAAGGAGATATTTATGTGGCCAGGTAAATCGTAAAAGTAAAACTAATTAATTCACCCAGGTAAAACATAAAAGTAAAAATGTAAAGCAGAATTCCCTGTCTTACGACTTTCATGCATCCGGCCGGAGAGATGGAAATCCTAGTGCAAATGCAGGGGTCCATCGTCACCCGTCCTGGGCTTCCCGTACTGGAGGCACAAGTTAAATAATACGTTTCGTTCTTAGATCAAATGGTTAGAACGAAGTTGCACTTATTTGATTGACTCAAATGAATTATACAACTCAAACTTCGAATTGACAGTGACAATGTGCATTCTGGGTTCCATCCATCTCGCACAGTATGCACTTTCACGCATTTAATGCAATATATATATGGTAGTAGTAGAACTCGTCATAATATATAAAACAAATATCTACACATTTATTATCCATACATGATACTTGCAGTATTCTCCACTTGGCCTCTGGTAGTACTATTTAAATTCACCTCACCGGCCACTTGAATGCTTTAAGCCAAGTGAACTCATGAAGATTAAATCCCATCTCCAAAGTCTTAGCGCCACTGAAGCAGTAACCACTGTGCAGCACCTGGTTTTCGAGTGCTTTGGACATCTTTCAAACAGTTCACATGCATCAAGGCAATATATAGTAGGTGGCAGTAGTGCTAGCTACTTACACTTGGTAGCCCCCTTTTCCCTCTACAAGTTGCATCGTTGCATGTGTCTCACTCTGTTTGGTAGCTCTCACCTCTTTCACTCTTAAATGCTCGTTTTCCTCCACGCTTCACACATTCCCAGGCTTAGCTTTTCTGTGTTGTCGTCTTCTTCTTCTTTTTCTCCTTCTCTTCTGAACCCAAGTTCCCCACACATTCTTCCATTGTGTCTTCCAAGTTCCTCTCAACTCTCAAGGGTGCTATTGTGGTAGCTAGAAAGGCTCTTGCTTATAGTAGTTTTGCAGAAATGGTGGATTTTGGAGGTGGGGTTTTATTAGGAGTCATGAGCAAAGCATTTTTCGCTGCACTCGCTTGCATCTTTGCGTTAGGTAAGTACAGTTCTTTCTTTTTCCCCACCTTGATCCTTGAATCCATCAACCTTCATCACGGTTTCTTTTTCTTGTGGGGTTCTTCCCTCACCGACTCCTATGCATGCCGATCATGGATTATCTCTGATCTTTGCTTTACTGCAGGAGGGGCCCTTGTGGGAACAATTACAGGTGCAGTTAAGGGCCAGACAACAGAAACCGGGTTCTTTCGTGGGGCAGGAATTGGTGCAATATCAGGTGCAGTTCTGGCTGTTGAGTTGCTTGAATCTTGTCTCGTCGATGGTGCAGACTTGTTATCCAAGGTCAGTTGATAGCTCATAGCTCACTGTAGAAGCTTTTTTCTGTAAGTCGAACAAACTATTGCATTAGCTTCCCATAAAATAACATGTTTTAGCCTTCTGACGAGAAACCATCAGCAGCTCTCCGTTTCCTTCCCTGATCCCTGCTAACAAACCGATCGAAACAAAACATCTCCAATAAACTCAGTACAAAATGGTTTAACACAGTCTATATATCATATAAAAAAAAGTCAGCTCACCGTAGAAATTGATAACATATAATGGTGGAGATGCAGCAGATTGTCCGGCCGAGTCGTTGTCATACTTTTTCTTGTTTGGGTGAAAAAGTCATCTTCATACTGGTCTCACCTAGACTTGTTCATTAATTACCTATATAGCGAGTGCCAACTAGTGTCCCCTCTCCTTTTCAACCATCCCTGACCTTGACACTTGATGCTAGTTAGTATTGAGCTGGACACCAGTCTCAGAAGGAGGAATCTTGTAGTCTTGGGACTAAGTAGTTAAGGAGTTATTGTGAATGCTGAATGGAGTTGGGACGAGACGTGGATGGCCTTAGACAGTCTGGCTTTGCTTGTACCAAGTCTCAGCTGCCTTGATCAGAAATGGCGTAGCCCAATCCAAACAGTGCACCCAACAGTAGGACTCCGTCATCCATACGGTACTCTTGCCTACGTCGGCACTGTGACTAGCTTGTTCATGAGGATTGAGGACTACGCTACGGCCTCCTGAGTCCAGACTGCTGTGTTTAGTTTTTTGGGATAAGTAGCTTTTTCGGTACCAATAACTCTCCTGTGCAGATCTGATCTGATCTGATGGATGATGAAAAAGGACAAAGAAATCTCAAGTGGGTCCCACTAATTCAATGTGTGACGTAGGCGTCGGAGATGGTTTGGTGTGGTCTTCATGGCGAGTGGGTCCCACATTTTCCACGTACATTGCCATGCATTGATCTTTGCTCATTCGTATTTTCCGAAGCATTTATGGTTCTTTCTTTGGCTCTCCATGATATGCCACCTTTCGTCGAAATTCGGTCCCAAGCAAGGGGACCCAAGTTCCCACAATGAAAAATTGTCAAACACCTAACGGTCAATCCTCTGATCTGCCATGGACTCTTTAGGTTGTTTCACATCTCTCTCTCTCTCATCTCATCTGGCATTCTGGTGTGCATGTGCTGTGATGCACAGGTTGCTCTATTTGGAAGCTTGTTAGATGGAAAGGTTTTCCGCGAATGGGTGAGCCCTGCAATGCTAAAGGCTTACCAATGGCAAGTAAGTATATTAAGACCCCAACAGCTACTGTGCTACCCACCCCGATTTGTCTCATTTAATCAACTAACTTTAATATGTAACAACAAAATTCCAGGTTAGCACCCTCGAGACAAATTACTTAGAGATCTCAGACATTTATGACATCGATAGCACTAGAGGGATGCCTCCCAACTTGGTCAACAAGCTCCCTAAGTTCACTTTCACCACTACCAAGATGATACACCCATGGGATGAGAGATCTTGTACAATCTGCTTACAGGTAGCGGACTCTACTTTTATACGTGCTTATAGGTAGTTGAGGTCCTCAACTCAAACTTTGAGTGAATTGATATTCTTTCTTCTGTTGTTTCTATTAGGATTTCAAGGAAGGTGACCATGCAAGGAAACTTCCCAATTGTAGGCATTTCTTTCATTTGCTTTGCATTGATGGATGGCTAGTTCGGCATGGATCTTGCCCTATTTGTAGAACGGATGTTTGATGCAAAAGACAGAAAGGAAACCCAAAGAAATTACAGTTGTTAGCTGGTCCTAAGGAAGGAAAACAAACAGAAGGAATGAATCTGCATTTTCACGACTTCCCTACAATATCTCCTATGTTCAATAGAAAATTTGAATTCTATTATTGTTCTTGTCTTATAATAACAATGTTTTATATGTGTATGTTTGCAATGGGCTTTAGCCCCCATATGGGCCAAGTGCAATATGCTAGACCTAGTCAGCGGGTTAATGGGTTACTGATAGGGTGTAGATAGGACCCACTATGACACAATGTGGAGAATGTGCCTTATGACCAATTCAACATCAGCAAGTGTCAAGTGAATAGGCCAGGACAAAAAACAGAAAATACATTGAAATTACTTACTCTTGCAAAGATAATTTTTGTTGCCAAATTAATTATATAAAAATGCCATCTTCTTCTCTTAAATCTTCTATTTGATTGAACAACTGCAAATCCCACCTTGTTATATTTTTGTCAAGTTACTTCTGCCAAAGAAGGTTAAAATGTCACTAATCGCCTTGAATTATCCATATTATACTCTTCTATACAAAGTTGGAATATATAGTCTCCCCTTAGGCTCAGTTTGGAAGGAGTATAAGTGCATAAATTCTGATTGACTTTGCTTTAGATTTAACTTTGTCTTATCTTATTTGTTTATTGAAAATAAAATAGGAAAAAAAATGATGTAACATGCACCTTATATGCAAGAGATTGGAGATAGGAGGGTTATTTGTTTGAAAGTGAGGTAGTAAGAAAGATGATGTAATCTCAATTTTATACAGAGAGAATTGAGGTGGTAGGAAAGTGGTGCAAGTTTTGCATCGGTTTTAGAGATGCAAATTTTGCACTGCCAATGAGCAAAATAAAACACTGGAACAATGCACGTACCTACTAAAACCCTTAAACCCCTAAATATTTACTAGAACTTCACTTGCCATGGCCTAAATAACTACTAAAATTTCCCTTCTTAATTGACATGGCATTATTAAGGTTTCCCTTAATCATGCAAAAGACTAAAATATAAATTCTCAACTCTTTCCCAATAATGATATAAAACATGGAGGTAGGCCCACGGGCCATGCCGCCCTCCCCAGTGAATAGTTTGGGGGTCGGCCCGGTACTGCCCACAGACTAAGCCCGTGTGGGCCCGTGCTGTGCCATGGGCCGGGCTGGTCTGTGGCCAAACCTTGGCTCAAGCTGGGCTATGGATCGAGCCAAAGTTATTTTTGTCTATTTATTTAAAATCATTGAAAACAATTAAAATTTTAATTTTATATTAATTTTGATGTATATAATTGCTTATATATTAATTAAATAAATTAGTATATATATATATATATATATATATATATATATATATATATATATATATATATATATATATATATATATATATATATATTGTTTCGTATCAGTCTGACTCATGGACCTAAAATCTTAGGCCCAGTACAATACAGACCATTGTGTTGGACTTGACACAACCCACATGCCATCGTGTCGGACCAATCTAAAATCGGGCCGAGCAACGAGTGGCATGGCCCGATTTAGACCTCTACATGAAATACTTGTAGGTGTAGAAATGATGAAGGTGGAGGATGGGTGGTGTTGGGTTTATAAGCATGGTGTTTAACACACTAAACACAATGATGTTGGAAGCCTAAACATTTGTACATAAAACATCCATTGGAAATTGGAAAGAGTAATGTTTTGGCACACAATACGTTACATGATGGTTTATTGTAGTTTTAAATGCACTAGTGTCATTAGGTGACACAAATAATAAAATGAATTCAGATCTTGTCACAGTAGATGGTCCCAACAGCCTTTGCAACCATACAACCTTAATATATGAGTTGGGACCACTGACACCGCATCTTACTATAAAATTGGGCCCATCATAAAAGTGGGACCCATCATACATGCAATGTGTGGTGTCAGATATTATTAGTAGGGTGTTGGAATTTGTTTCGGTGGAAAGTGATTCGGACTCCTAATGTTGATTGAAAAGGCTATTGGAACCTGCAGTGGCTGTTGGGACCATTGTTGGACCCTGTGTTGGGACTTGATTAGGGCTCACATAGAACGACGGAAATAGAAATTCTCCCATGCACATACCTTAATGCAGAATGTGAATTGACATCTGTTATATGTAATCGTAGAGTCTAAAAGAATACAACCTACAGTTTCAAACACCACTAGGGTTCAAAGTATCCATGCATCTCTCTATATTGATAAAGGTTATTTATTACTTTAAACCATGCGTTTTTAATATTTTTTAGTTTTTTTCGTCTAATTTCAATTTATCTACGTTTTTATTTATATTATTTATTAAAAAAGGTTATATGTTACACCCGATACAAAATGTATCGTACCGCTACTTTGAACGTTAGACACGACCCAAGTTGTAAATGAGGGCTGAAGGGGGTTACGAATGCTTAATACTGACGTAGCCGTAGGGCGAATAATGTAGGTTTAAGGAGTGGAGTGAGTACGCAAGTGCAATTACTATATATACAAAGGGGGGCACATTAATTGTGGGGCGTGGAATTTGCACCAAATAGGGGTCAATGTACGTTTTGTTTATCTTAGATGCATGAAGACTTGAGAGTAGGAATCTCCCAAAAACAAAAATGGGGTATACATCTGAGAACAGGACATCTAACTATACATGAAAAAGGAAAGGGTTAACTGAAAGCAATAGCTGTTCAGGGTCTGTGGACCAATGAAATATAACTGTAATAAAATATATGAGGCCCATATTTCTCACAATGGGACCTATGAATTTATTACTGGCGATTTCAGATCTGTGCCCCCTTGTGGGGCGCCCCACAACGTCCTACAGTATATCCCTGTTGTATATTAGAAATATCTCCCGATGATGGTTTCAGAATCGATGATGTCATCATCGGGAGATGTTCCCAATACACAGCAAGGATGTGTTGTGGGACGTTGTGGGACGCCCCATTGTGGGGCACAGATGTGAACTCATTACTGGCATGGAGTGTTATCTTTGGTTCCATAGCCTGTTGAACAGCCATCATGCTTAGCTAATCCAAATTAACATTACATCTAGAAGATCTTCCATATATTTATGGTAAATTCATAGAAGATATTCCCTATGTATGAATGGATGCTATGCTCTTATAGTAGAATTCAGATCTTCTACCCACAAGAATTCTACGCACACCAACACATAGGGGTGGCAATTTCCCCGGTCCCTGATGGGTACTCGGGCGATCCCTGAATCTCCGATCAAGTTCAGGGATGGGGATGGGGAATGCAATCCCTGCCCTGACCCAGCCCAGATTAATATATATATATATATATATATATAATTATGTATAATATAATATTATATATATTATAACTTTATATAATATTATTCATTTTTAAAATATTAATTATTAAAACTTAAAAAATAGTAAAAGTGTAAAACACTAAACTAAAACCCTTGATAGAGAGAAGAGAGAAGTCGAGAACTCTCAACTCTGTCTTTGGAACAACTAAATCAGTGAACTCTAGCTTCATGCGTGCCTTCGTCTTCCTTTGTCTTCGACTCTTCGTCGTTGAATCACTGATTTGCCGACTGCCGTCGCTGTCGCCACCGTTGACGTCAAAAGACTTAGAACCCTAGCCTCATGCCTTATCGAGTGATAGAAAAGAGATACTCAAAGAAGAGTTTCAGTTATCAGTCCTTCTAACCTTCGTCTATGGTCACTGACCGCCGTCGCCTGTCGGACTCTCTCTCTCGTCACCGACCTCAACTCTCCCAATGGTCCTCTCTCTCTCTCTCTCTCTCTCAGTCTCAACCTCTCAGTCCGTTGGGGATTCGGGTCTCCAATGGGGAATTCATCCCTATCAAGGTCGGGGATGGAGGGGGGATTCCTTTCCCCGTCGGGAATCAGGGACAGGGACAGAGGATGATTTGGGGGTCGGGGTCGGGGTCGGGGATGGAGAATGTAATCCCCACCCCGAACTCGCCCCGTTGCCATTCCTACCTACACACATAACACTACGATTGTACCTTGGGAGTATATCCCCTTGAATGGTAACATGTAAATAAGGGAGATGCTGTCAATGCACATCTGTAGTGAGGCGTGGGTAAGAGATCCAAACTACTTACAATGTTTACACGCTTTTTAGGAAATTCAGACTGATCATATATATATATATATATATATATATATATATATATATATATATTCCATGTATCATTAGTAATATGCTACAATGGAAAACAAAATTTTATACGTGATTGAAAGAAAGCTTCTCCTAGCGCCCAAGTCTTTTCCTTTCATAGTACCATACCTAGTGTTTGAGAACACCATGTTCGTGACAAAGTTCAATGCCCTGGTTTCGGGGAAACTTCAATTGGAAAGTGCTTATGAATGGGTTGTGACTAAGAAAACTTGAAGATCATCAGAACCCAATTATTAGCAATGGTCAAGAGATAAGGACTAAGGGTGTCAATGGACCGGTTTTAGATTAGACTCCGTCTAGTTTAAAATCAATTTGGATGGACCAACAAGACATATTGGATTGGACCAATCTGGTCCAAAATATTTATAAGATTGGATTGGACCTAGTTCGTATGTAACAATTTTATATTGGATTGGGTTGGACTAAGCCAATATCTGATCCATTGATATAAGATAAGAATATATGTGTTAATGGACCAGGTTTGGGTTGAAACCAATCTAAATCAAAATGAATTTGAACAGATTGGAAGGTCCAGACATTGAATTGGACTGGTCCTAATTGGTCCATAACATTTATTGGATTGGATTGGACCTGTTCCATTTATAATGGACTCACATTGGACTGGATCAGATTGGATCAAATCCAGTCCAATTGACACCCATAATGAGAGGGAATTACTAACTCTGAAACAAAAACACATACAAAGAAGGGCTTCCAAATCTGGTTTGACATTATGTTGAACAAATTAAAGGAAGCTAACACGATCCCTCTTATAAGAGAAACAAGCTCTACAGAAAGGAGCTTGTGCTTGCTTTTCTTCTACTCACTGTATCTACAAGAAACCTACTATCAGCTTATGGCGTGCATTTCTCTTGTTGTTTCTGTTGGATTTTAATTTCATTAGATATTAAATCCAATGGGATCTGATTGGTTAATTGCATGAAAAAAAACACGTTTGCACATATATCTTGGAAAATAGTTTTCAATTTGTCTCACATTGGAAAATTGCTAAACATGTTTTGAGTTTTAAATAGAAGCTTGTTTACACCCAGAATTATAAGATGAGAGTTTGGAGGCTTGCTATCGTGCAACGTGCATGCATGCGTGTGCACGCGTGTGTGCGACACTTTAGAGACACACTTTGCTCGTACCCACATGGTTCACATAAAGCGGTTTT